TATGCAGTTTCATGACTTGTAACATTTGAGTTTGTAGAGTTTGTTAATTTGTGTAACGTTTTACTTTTGTATATCTTAACTCCTGTTATTAATTTTAATATTTTTTAAAATCGTATTTTATTATACTTATATTTAGATTTTTATTTTCCACGTTGATGTTAGACTATATTTGTTCATAAGTAATCATGTAATGAAAAGTTTTTGATATATAAACGTACATAGGTAGGTATTACCTATTGTTTAATCATTTTATTTTAAATATTTGTTCTTGTAATTTTAAAATATTAAAGTATTTACTGCTTTGTAAAATAAATAAATAAAACATAGTCGTAGGTAACTTTTGTATAAGGTTCAAATTAAGTTATTTTGTAGAAGACGTAATAGTATCGTATGTCCCGCCTCAGTTGTGATACCATATGAAATAAAAAGATAGTTATTTTATGAAGGCACTACATTCAAAAAAAAAATATGGCCTTTAATATGTTGAACGCCTTATAATAATACGGCTCATGAATGGGTTTACTGTTTAAACATTTATCAACATTGAGGAGGAGTAATAGTATTTTATCTAGGTACAGAAATCAAATATTTATTTTCGATATTTGTATTTATTAATTATTTGTTCAATAATTAAATGGATAAAATTAGAAATAACTTAAAATTCATAATTATTATTTATAAAGTATTTACGATTGAACCTATACCAATAAAAATTGGATTTTCAAATGCCTATGATTAATAATAATAACTAAAAAAAAAATTCCTTTCTTAGCATTTGAAGTTTAAATGTTGACAAAATTCATAGAAATCCCGAATATTTGCAAATTACTTTTTAGTTAAAAATGTATAAAATATCTTACATTTTTATAGATTGAAAATGTAAAAGGTATGTATAAGGTTTCTTATTAGTAAAGACCAGATATATATTCTCTTAAGATACCTAAAATATAATGCTAATATTCTCTAAAAAACCTTTAAATATTCTCATTATATTCTCTCAAAAATTTAAAAAATATGCAAAAATTATCTATAAATATCATTATTTTCTTTAATATGCATAAAAAATTTTTTTTTCAACATTATTTTCATAGTGAAGTATAATTAGGTATTAAAAGTTGCGTATTCTAATGAAATACTATTGCACTTTAGTAAGAGTTGGAAATGAAAAAAAAAAAATTTAAATGTTCAAAACATTATTTTCTGGTTACCGTAATATTAAAATTAAAAATTAATACAATTTTTTTCTCACAATTTACGAAATATTCCAAAATAATATGCTAAATGGATTAAATATTCTATAACCCATGAAATATTCTCAAATATAAATCATGTAAATCCGGTCTTTATTTATTAGTATAGTTCGTAGGTACAGTTACCGAATAATCTAAAAAAATATGTGAACACAGTTATTTTTTGTAGACATTTTAATTTCATAATCAACGGTACTGCAGGTAGCTAAATACAAACGTGTTTTCTTGGACTCAGGTGCATTATATGTGAATTATAAATATTAATATTAATATTCATATGAGTCGTTTAATATGTGCATTACCTATATTATATATGTTTATATACTTAATTCTGTGCCTAACTTTTAAGTTTAAAGGTTTTCTATGAACTTTTGGTCTTTATTCACAATGTATTAACTGTGTTATTTATATTTTAAACAATATGAATAAGAAACCAATCAACTAAAGGTGTATTAGGCCATAAGGCTAAAGAAATGTTGCTTTTTTTGTTTAATTTTGAGGAAATGTGTTTTAGTACCTATTGGACATTATCTTAATAAATAATTAACCATATTCGAATAACATTTATAAAAATGTCTACTCGTTTTGAATAAATTAATATATTATGAATAATCTATGTTAAACCAAATTTAATTAAAAGACATTAAATAAATTACTTTTTTTTATAAAATTAAAAAATTTCTAATTTCTCTAATTTTCTGATTCTAATAGTCTTTGAATTCAAAATTTAATACTTTAAACCCAAACATTTCTTGTATTTTATTTTCCTGTCTCTTGAATGAGGATGTGAAGATGTGTGGTATTCGAGTTTAAATAATTCATGTACGTATTCAGTTTTTTCGGTAATTTATTTTCTGAGAATTTTGTTATACTCACGTATAAACAACGACCTAAAACAAACAATATGTGTAAACAAAAATATTATGGATTTTATTTATTTTTGAGCAGATTTAAGATTTTCCACTTCTACATATTTTAAGTTATTATTATACCTAGACCTAGTACATTATAAACATTTCGAAAAGTTTGTCATTTTGTATAAATGGTGTCTAGTATAAAACATTGTTCCGGTGACCGTTCATCTGAAATGGATTCGCAAAGCATAGAATTGATGAACTAAGTAGGTACCTGCGTTTCGTTGGGCACTGAAAAGTGTTTCCAAAAGCCGTGGCTAAAATCCTCTAAAATCCAAAAGGAAATTGATGAGCTGCAGCTCTGTTGTCGACGATCGCGGGGACAGCTTGCTCGTCCGGGCGAGGACGGAAGAACCCACTGTGCAATATTCGGTCACATAAACGTTTCAGAACCGTTTCAAATCAACTTGTAACATTGCGTTCATTGTTACTTTTACGTTGCGCCGATGTTGTGGTAACTGCCGTTGTCCAAATTTGATGACGTTTCATATTAGTTGTATTGACGTTTATATTAGATATTTTGTAACATCGTATCAACATCCCTGATATGTTATAAATAAAACGGTTTATAAACATCTATTTTACATTTAGTAGATGTTACATAGATGTTATTGATCAACATCTATACGAGATCGATTGTAGTAAAATGAGAAAAAAGTGTAAAAATAATCAGTCCGATCATGGTATCGAACTCTAAGTACGGAGGATTGTTGTTTAACCTACCTAACTGGGAAACGCCTTAACCTACCTAACCATGACTGCCTATTGGAAATAATGTGTGTAATTGTTGTATTTAGGTAATAACATTTTCACAATATTGAGCTTAGAAATGATAGATTAAGCCATTAAGGACTAAGCAGCGGGGGCCGGGGAGTATTATTATAAACGAAAAGTTAGTTTATAAAACAAAGTACTTCTGTACAAATTTAATACTGTATTATTATGTGAAAATAACATACATTTAAGTACATTACTTACCTAAAATGTTCATTTTAGATAGGTACAAAACTTACGTCAACATAACTATTAAGAACTATTGTCTCTTACAACATGTCAGCATAAATATTAAATACCTACCTACTATAAATTCAAATGATATTACGTAGATATGGTACCTATCTATCTATGTGTCTCAAATAGGTACATTTATTTTTTCTGATATTTCTCAGAAGAAAGAAAATTAGAGATCTATTTAATGTCAAAAAAGTACTTAACATGTGTACCTATACTATAATAACTGTATTTGTAGTCACCATCTTAAAAACATGAAATACATAACATAGCAAATTTAGGTACCTACCTACGTACGTCCAGCATAATCCATTTAAACTAAGAAATGAATAGGTAATTCAAGCGCAGCTACTACTAGAGCCAGAGGCTATCTATTTTTTGATAACATACCCTCCAACGGCCTAAACATGACACAAATATTGCATATATTTTTTTATGCACTATATATTATTATTTATTAATTAAGTAGCTCATAAAATAATAAACCATAATAATATAATAGATTATGATAAAAATGTACAAAAAAATACTCTCAAGTTTCAATAATATATAATATATTTATTTTATTGCATGTAGGATATAGGAAACATAATATTATGTACCTATTTATTATAAACATAACATTTTCAATTTAGAAGACAAAACAATTTAAATATTAATACCAACAAACAACAATTTAATAATATAGATAGGTATATCATAGTATATTATAGGTATTAATGCATTACATATTATTACAATAAAAAAAACTAAATACTAATATACAAATATAAGAAGTTTAGATATTTAGGTAAGTAATAACTATTTTTTTATAATAGGTACCTACTTACCTAATTTTAATATCAGCATATTAATATAAATTATACTTTTTATTTATTTTTACATGTTTATTTCATGGCATAATGTTATCATAATTGCTAAATTATTACCTACACTAACACAAAAACATTTATGTTTTAAATTATTTTCATTTACACAATATATATCTGATATTTCATCAGTTATAATTTTGTACATACCTATAATTAAGGAAGAAATAACAGGTCCATTGCAAAATTCTTTACAATTTAGGTATTTTTTGACAAAAAATTTTACAGAATTGTCTTTAGACTTTACAATATTAACTATTGAGACCAATGCGTTATCATCTAACATGAAGTATTTATCCTTTTCTTTTAATGTATCTATAGTTGTATTTGTTCTTATTAAACTATATTTTCTATAAACTGTATCAGATAATTCTAAAACTGATAGTGAATGTTGATGGATTTCTTTGCTTAAATGGGGCAACTGGGGGTAGAGATCAAACTTAGAGTTATCAGTTTTTTGCTTTTCTACAATTCTATTTAATATTTCCTGTAATGGATATTTTGTAGACTTTAAAGATTTCTTTATAAATTGTAGGTAATTCTCATACCTAAATGCACTGAAACTATCAAGTGGTCCATGTATCATTGAAAACATAGGTAGGTGTATCAAACTATGAACATTGTAGGATATTAAATGTTGACCATATAATGTAGCATAATCAGTAACAAATTTTTTTAATAATTGAGAAGCTATATTATTGAGCGTCTGACAAGTTTCAGCACATGCTAAAATACGAACAGCAAATACTAAAAGCATAAAATGATTATAAAAAGTTTTCTTTAATTTACCTTGCAAGACAATTGCACCAGTGTACATGACAAAATTTCTCAATTCTGTTGCTTTAAAATACTCAATGTCGTCAATAGACCTTGGCAACCGAGCAAATTCAGAAGGCATGTATGTTCTTAATTTTATTAATTCATTGTTTATTTGCTTTTTTTTTTCGTCAGCTAATCTAATGTCTTTTTTTGCCCCTAACCCAAAATTCTATCAATCTTTTTGTTACTCCAAGGCAAACATTGTGCATATAGTCAAAGCATACTACTTCAGTTATATTAATTGGTAAATTCAGTAATGGACTATCCCCTTTATGATAGTCATCATCAAATTGTTTGCGAAATGATTCATCAGTTCTTAATTTTGACTCCGTTCCAAGAAAAGATACACGATTTTGTAAATAGGTTCCTTCCTCCACACATGATGTGCACCCAAAATAAGCATTATGACTCTTTACATTTAAAAGAAAGGATTTTGCAGGGGCATCACAAACTATATTTGATATCTCTACATTTAACAATTTTCCTCCTACATACAAACCATCTTTTAATACTTTTAAAATATCCGAAACAAATGGATTAAAAAATTCTTCAACCGATTGAGGCTTTTGGTAACCGTGAAAAATACCAATAGGAAAAACATTAGTACGCAATTCCTTAAAATTTAAAATAGAAACTAAAATTGGCCATATTTGACTTTTGGAACTTTTTACCAAAGGTAAACCATCAATATTAATCCCTATTTTTAAATTGTTGTCAGATATTCCTACATTTTTATAATATAACTCTAAAACTGGTATTAACATATTTTCAAAGCCTAAATGAATGTAAGTACCATTAGTCATATTACAAATTTCATGTGTTTTAGGTGTTCTCATAAGAGTACGCACATCTTTGGGTACTTTCAATCCCTCCGACCTCATTATAATAAGTAGTGAATTACAACTATTATGTGAAATTTTATATTCTAAAACCCAATGTCTTAACTTATCCAATAAATTTGTATTACTATTCTCGGATATGTCTTCAATACATAAATTTAAAGTATTTTGGGTTACATTTAATGTTTGAATACCAGATAAGTCTTTACTCAAATTGAGAAGATTGTTACCAACCATTTCTGATGTATTGTCAAAAACACCATGATTACTGTTGAAAATTGGTATATCGGCAATAATTGTATTGCTTATATTAACGTTTTCGGTCATTTTTTGTTTTTCTACTTGGATAACACATTTTTCTTTTTCATTCTTCAAAATTCTTTTAAAGTGGCGCTTTGATATTGAGGCAATATGTTTCTTTTTTAGATTAGTTGTAGTCTAAAACAAAATGGAAATGTAAAAAAAAAATAAGAATTATAGAAAAAATAACAGAAAACAAATTTTTTCAAATGGAGTTTTCTTTATTATATTGAACTATTGTTCACATACAATTATTTAAAATATACTAAATTAAATCAAAACAACTGTTTTCAATTTTACTTTTATTTAAAATAAACTTTAGTTTTTAGCCTGCAGGTAATAACAACATTTTGTCTGTGACTTAACAGATTTAAATAAAAAATATTATTATACAAATTATAATATAACATTGGTAGGAAATAATCAAATGTTTAGTGTTCTATTATGTCGAGTATTGGCATGTCTTAGCCAATCTGATACTGTCTTGTCAAAGTCAGATTCTGTAAACAAGCTTGTTGAAACATCTTTGATGACTTCTAATGATTTTAAAATTAAATAAGTTTAAAAATGAATTATTTATGTATTTTTACAATCAAATAATATATTTTAGACAGTTATCAAATTACTTAGTTTCAGTAATTTATGTTCATTGTTCAATAAATTATATTATTTGGCTAAGTATATGTAGTTAAGTTTTTACTTTTAATGATTTTAATTAAATGAGAGTCTCCAATTTTCATTTCAATTTTCTGCCCACGTCCTGTCCAAGAACACTTGATGCCAAATTCATTGGTGAAAACTTTAGCCAAAACTCTATTTAAATGGTTTTTTGGATTAGTACCTCCAACTGACTTTAAAAATGATTCCTTTTGTTAAATAAAAAAAAATTAGTATTTATTCAAATGTAATTGTAAATGAGTAGGTATCTAACCAATTTTGAAACAAAATCTGAAGAGTTTTGTATTTGATTCTCTATCAGATTGAATCCATTATTACTATTAATTGGGAATAGTGTTAAAAACTCAGTATCTAGATATATTGTAGAATCAGTATTCAGGTTTTTATTTTTAAGATTCGCTTCAATTCCTTCAACTTTTACCATCACACGATTGAGCATAAGATTAGTAGCAATATTTTCTCTGTATAAGTTATTCAGAACTTCAATTAACTTTGGGTTTAAATCATCAAAACCTATTAATATGTAAAATAATAAATTACTAAATAGAAATAATACCTATAATATGATTATATAATAATTTAATGTCATATTATTACCATGAGTATAAGAACTTGTAGTCATGGGGAAGTGACTGGTATTTATACTAGGCTGAAAAAAATTATTTATGTTACAAAATTATAAAGGATATTATGAATCCATAATAGACCTAAACATTTAGTACCTATATTTATTTAGTAATGAATTCTATCAAATTAAAGTTAAAATACCTATAGATAGGTAGGTAACTTGATAGTCTAGATAATTTATCAATTATCATTAATTAAAATCGAATATTATATATCTAAATAACTAAGTACATAAGTAAATACCTAGTTATATCAATATTTAATTAAAAATGTTTTCCAGAACAACAAAATTTTAATGAGAACCTATAATAATTACCTGTAATTCTGAAACAGCAGTGTTTAAATGGGTCATTGATGTAGTTGCCTCTACATTTTCCTCGACATTTCCAGAATAATCATCAATTTGTGAGGGAATGTTTGATGGTAGCATTGGTGGTAGCATATTATATATAGATGGGCATGTGTTTTCTGTTTGTAAGTCAACACATAGACTCTTAGACTTTTCCTCAATATAGTAACCACTATTGCCTAAACATTATGTATAACATGGACAGTTAAAAAAAATAGCTTAATCATAAATTCACTAAAATAATAATTATAATATGAAAATTACTTTACCTTCATTATCACTCTCATCTGAATCACTATCGTTGCTTTTTTTTTGTTTTTTTTTGTAATATCCATTTCTTCATTTTCCGTAGCTGACGACTCTTCAATAAATTTTTGGTGCCATGCTTTACCAAAATTATCTGAATGTATTAAGGAAGATACATTGGATTAATAAAACTTTATTAATAGTAGATATTACAGATACATCAAGTGATGCACTAAAAAAAAAAAAAAAAAAAAAAAAAAAAAAAAAAAAACAATAATTTATGAATAGGTAATAATATAAACCAATAATAATATTTAAATCAGCTAATATTATGATGGTAAATTACTATAGGTATTAACTATACTATTATACTAAAAAAAACTAACAAAATAGAATTGAAGTAAGTATGGCCTAATTACAAATAATTAGGTCAGTAACTATATTTAGAAACTAGTAATAGTATGAATTGTTTTTAATAAGAGTGCAATAAGTAATAAGTAAGTAGGTATAATGAATAGTTGAAACGAGTACTTGTCCTAACGTGCATGAGTTCTTTTTACATTTTGTTAAAAAAAATTGTCTCTAGTGACGCTCTTGTACTTACATGTACTTGTATATTATACAATAAATAGCTAGCTATCTAAAATTCTTACCATATGTTTTACTACGGCCAACTATCTTTACACGGTATGTTTCCCATAACGGTTCTGGATCAACCGCATCCTTTAACTCATTGCTAGTTACTCTGGTGAGTGGCCATCGACAAAACTTAACAGCACCTTCGGCTAATTTCTCCTTGTCTACTAGCCAATTGGTAGGTATAACACTATAGTCCTTGGACTCGGGAAAAACTGCCAAAACCCATTTTTTTCTGAATGATGACTGCAATATACAATAAAACTTTTGAAAAAATTATAAATAATAGTGGAAAAATACGATTTATTTCGAATTTATTGTTGTATGTAGACCTAAAATTACTTGTGTAAAAGAAATATTATCAAAATCATAGTAGCTTGAGAGAATAATAAAATAAGAGGACGCTATACCAATATGTTTGTTGTCTCTGACTTACAAACGTACTTACGAGTGTATGACATAGAACATCAACATCTCGGTTCACTAGTTTAAATAGTGTGCTGTTTAGGTAGGTACCTAAGAACATTATATTATGCACAAGTGCCGGCGATTTTTCAGATATTTTAATTTTAAAGCAAGATATGGGTAAGTGAAAGATTACAAAATATTTAAAATGATCATATTATCTCAAAATTAAAATATCGAATAAAAGTTGAAGCAGAGAATACGTAATGTTCTTAGGTAGGTACCTAAAAGTTGTATAATAGGTGAATTTACTCTAATACCTATCAAAAATAACAGCATAATTATTGAAACTAGTGAACGAAAACTTGCCATGACGTAGATGACGTGTAAGACGGAGACGACAAATTTATATGGCGTCTAGGTCTCCTAGCGTACTAGGTATAAGTACTAGGTAAGTACTTAAAATTTAAGCTATGCATGGCTTGACCTTTTCGTACACACGTAGATACGAGTTACCGTCTGAAGTCTACAGAAAAAATGTTTTTAAAATATATTATTTCACTTACCTTTTTTAAACTTGGTGCATTCATCATACCTATATAGGTACTATGCAGTAATTATACTAATTATACAATAAAAAAAAAATGTTCAACGCACAGAAAAACCGTTAACAATAATAATTGCAGTGTTAAAAATATTATGACATGTGTGGTGACTGTCGACTGATGGTCGGTGGGTGGTACGTGGTAGGTACTAGGTAGTTAGCTAGCCGCGCTTTAGCGGAGAGCGTGGGATATATATAAATATATACAAAATTTGTTTTATCTATTTATATTTAATATAAAAATACCACTATATTTGTCTATTTATAAATAATAATTGAATTAATATAATTCGTTTTCCATCACATCACTACGCTGTTGTTGTACTGTTGCAGCAACTTGTGTCAGAGATATTGAAACGTCAACGTTTCTGGGATGTTTATATGTAAACTTAAAATATTTTTAAAACTAAACCGTTTACACGATGTTTTGGTAACATCGAGGTGCGATGTTAGCATTGAAACTTATATCATACATCGCAACAATGTTCTATAACCTAAAATGCACAGTGGGAAACGTCTGTTGCCGTAACCTTGAAAAGGCCGGAGAACGCGGCCGTGGACTCCCCGGCGGTGGTACTCCGCGGTTTGTTGGCCATGCGCAAAGAAGCCGATGGTCGCCGTGCGTTGGCGGTGGGACGGCTCCGCGGCCGTCGGTTGCCAGTCCTACGCTTAGTCTGACTAAAGAATAAGTGCAACGACGCTTGGAGGAAGGTGCCTCCAATCTGTAAGTTGACCGTATCCCCACCCACAGATAATAAAGAATGGGTACGACCAAGGTGGATATATATCTTGGATACGACATTTCAATATTAGACGTCATGTATAAATATTCGGTCTTCAAATATACATAATTATACGCAATATGGCGTCCTGAGGCGATTTGATTATAATATCATGTTATCATATTGTGATAAGACAAAGTAGTATGATATCTAAAAATTATAAAATTAAGAAGAAAAATCTACGACAAGTTACTAACTTATGGCAAAAAAAAAAAACTAAAAATACCACAGATTATTAATGATTATACTATGGAAATTGTATGTAATCAGTGTTTATATTCCGGTTTATACTTTATACTTTATAATTCTAACGATTGACGAATAATACGTCAAAACGTCTTGTACAGTACCTACCTACCATCCGACCTAACTGCAATGCGAGTATTTAAAATAATGAATATACGCGTTATTACTTATTACTTAAACTTGTTAAATATAATTTAAAATGTATTGTATATTATTTCTGCAAATATATTATTATTATTATACTTGACAGGTATTACAAAATTGAACATTATATGAACGTACATAAGCAAGACTTTTTTTTAAAATTCAAATTTTGACAAAATTCATCAAAACCAAATTATTTTGTTGTTATAAATTTATAAAATGTTAAATTTTTATAGCTAAGTCTTGAAAATTAAACACAAGATTCCTCAAAATTATAGATAATAGTAACTAAAAAAACTAAAAATAACAATTATTATGTTAGGATAATAGTTATATGCAATATATTTATATTCGAGGAATACTCTATATATGAACCAACACGCACAATTCTTAGTCTGGGGGATGGAGTGGCCAGCGGACTTAGGCGTCGATTGCTATGCACACCAACGCCGGTTCGATACCTTGGCCATGGGCTGAATTTTTCTTCGGGCAAGTCACGGTGTCCGGAGAAAAAGTGCCGCCATCCCCCACCCGGGCATGTCAGATACCTACTGGTGCCCAAATCAAAAATTCTGCTAAAACAAACACACACAAACAAAAACCTACAAACAAAACAAAAAAATAACTAATAGCTTCAGTTGCAGTGTCAAATAATAAAAAAAAATTCTTAGTCTCCCTCAAATCTCAAATATTATCAACTTCATTCTAAAATATAATCTAACAAACAAACTTTAGCTTAATCAAAAAATAATGTAAATTGTATGTATATTGTAAATATTAACAAATTTTTATATAAAATACATGTGAAAAAATGTGGACCTTAGATGCTGAAGGCGGTAAAATCTTAAAAAAAAGGTATGCAATATTATTTTGCTAAAATGGATTCAACCTACCTTTTTATTATAGCTAATATAGCAATATTAAAATAATATAAAATATCCTAGGTTGACCACCATCTCTATTCAGAATCGTTTTTTCTGTATGATGATATATCATTGAATTAAAATTAAGCTCATACATTGCAGACTGCAGTGAATCACTCGACACCTAATGCACAGCAGAGTGGTACCTATGGTATACCTATAAGTATACTTGTACAACTTTTTTTAAATATTATTATTTTTATAGGTTCACATGGGTTTAATTTTGGTTTTAACCTTATCAATTATCATTATTTTGTGTTTTTGTGCCTGTTCATTACTACGAGTACAATCCATTATTTTCGACAACAGACCATTATATTCTTTCTAGTATTTAAATTTTTTAAGACCATACCGGCCTTATTTTATTCAACAAATGTTCAGGTCATAGACATTTAAAAATTACACAAGAAAAAACTGAAAGTATAATCAAATTTCAATATGGTTTATTTTACTTATAAAAGGTTACATTTTTTTATGCTTACTATGTATATTGCTGAGATATACTCGTATAACTCAAAAGTTAATCAATAGTTAATAAAGTTTATGAGATTATTAGTTTTTGTTTACAACAAACTGACTAAAATCAACTTTGTGGAAAATCTGCATGTTGTCAGTCATGCTTATTGAAATTAATGAGCACCTAAATTAAAACTTGACCCTTTTAATGTGTCAAAAAGATTATATGTTCAGTCATAAGATAAGACCACATGAAACTCTTACTAGAATAATGATCACAGCCAAATAAATGAATACCCATTATTGTAAAACCAATACATTCATAAATCATTTTATAATAGTTTTATTTATTACTTAGTTTGGAATCTAAAACTATATGACGTGTCACCTCGAAAAAATGGTGTGTTCAAATTTATATTTATTCTATTGTAATTATATATTTGGTCATATAGTAACTAGTAAGTTATTTCTACGGAAGTACTTAATTAATATATTATAATTTAGCTTAATTATTTTTCAATGTATAATTGCATAGATCGATAATGTATTACCTATTCAGTAATATATATATTTGTTTATTATATTAAACATTTTTATTATCGTTGTTTTTATCCTTTCTCAATGTCAACACATACCTGCTTACACTATTGTTTCTTATCCAAGAACAATTTACAAAATAAAATGAAAAAAGGGTTCTTGTCATTCCGTCAAGTGTAAATTATGCAGCTATTTAACAGAACAATAGAAATTCCCCTGTGTACAAGCAAAATCTTAAAGTTAAGACAGTTTAGAACGAAAAATCTGGCAGCATATACCGCTTATAATGGTACTTGGTGTGAAATGAAAAAAAAAACATAACCTACTGCTTTACACTTGCATTGGTTCCATTAAAAATTTCTGGTGATTTTATTTTATTTTATTTATTATTTTCTGTTATAATTGTACCAAATTGTCTAGTGAAACGCTGCAAGCTCAAGTCCTGCATATTCATATGGTACTAAAAAAATAACTATATTAATAACCATCAAGCCAGAATAGAAGTGCATCTCTGATCTATTAAAGTATCTCCGATCTAAGTTTGTATTTCAAGTCTGTTAGCTTGTAACTAGCTGGGTTTGCTTCATGTGATACATTTTCGTACAATTCCTGCTGGTAAACTATTGTATTATTGTTATGATATATTTTAATATTTCTAGAAATACAACTTTATTCAACATATTGCATTTTGTAAGGCCTAGGCTCATCACTATTTATAATTTATCTATAAATATCTTATTATATTATTACGATATTTATGTACATTTCTGATACACCGTTTTCTGTTTATTTTGGAAGTAAGTAGTTAGGTATTTGCTTATTAATTTAAATTTAAACATTTTTGTGTTGTCACTTTTTCATTGTCTAGTTGCTTTCATATTTTAATGGATTTTAATCATTGATTAAAGATTTAACATTTTAATGTTGTACAGAATAAACATGTTTTTAAACTAAAATAATATGCATTTGATCTTGTATAACTATCCAAAAAACTTCGAAATTGTTTACTTACAATTAATTATTATGTCCATACATTGTAAAAATATAACGTTAGATTTAGACATACCTCATTAAATTATATTTATATTTTACTTAAAACTAGTAGGTAGTTAACCTTGGTACTCGTACATTTTTTTTTTTTTTGGCAACCACATCTAACCAGGTCGATATTATTATACACCGAGAAAAAATACTCTTTCGTCATACACGATGTCTTGTGCCGTTGACGGTTTATATTTTTCACTTTTAGCACTGGTGAAAAATGTCACATTTCCCTCTAATGCGATCCCCAATTTGTATATTGCCAACAGGAAAATATTTACGAACGTTCTACCTTCTTCTGTGCGTACCTTCCTTTCCAGTTTCCTGACGTTACGTATGATTTTTACTGCTTGACATGCCATTACAAAAATAACTGATTGTTCGGAAAAAAAGTACTGAAAACTTTGAACACCGAGTACTTTTTCAAATGTTTGTTGAAACGTTCTAAGTTAATATTATTATTATTTACTTATTAAACCTAAAAAAACACTCGAAAATGACATTGATGGTTGAAAGTTGAAAATATAAAATAACAATCGTTTTAACTAATAAAACAAAACAAATGTGCTTCTATTTAACTTGATATACTAGACTTTAATATGGTTACATTTTCAATATTATAAACACTCTGGTCTTAATAAATTGATGCAACCTAACTATCCACTATCCAGTTATATATTGAATACTATCATCTTTCTATCTTTGTATTTTATGCTAAGTGATCATCATTAGAACACATTGTTCGGAAACTTCCTGGTATTCTCCGGGTAGTTATCGTTTGTGTTTAATAACAAAGGATTCCTGAGGTGTTGAAATTACTATAAATTAGTAGTACATAGGTACTACTATGCATACTACCATATCGTTTTCTCACTTAAATAGTCTAGGTTTAGTTGTTTTATGACGGTCTAAATTAACGATTGGATCTTTCAGTATTTAATTATTTTAAGAATTATTTACAATCTAAAATTTGTCATGGCCCAATTACTCAACTAATGAGTATACTGTCAATTTATTAATTCAAATTTCAAATGTGTATAATATATACATCTAATATCTATGGTAATCATATCTCTTGAACGCTCATATAAATTAGATCCTTCTTAAATGATAGTATATTCGCCGACTAAAGATGCTATAATATAGTATTCTGTATTTCAAGAAGGCTCGTGATGTATAATAATTTGTTTCCCTGCATGTATTGTATAATATGCACCACAAAATAAATAAATGTTATGCTTAATACATCTCTGAGATTTACGTATACATTTAAATAATGTAATGTAATTTTACATATTTTTGAAAATTTTACAATTTCAGATAATTTTATATATTACTGTATGAATATTTTCCTACATACAATAAATAGAAACGATTATAATTATGTACATTATGCCTATTAGCATAATTTAAAATATTATAGGTATTAATGTTATAGTATAAATTGTAAGTGTACATTATCTTTGTTTTAATTAGTACCGGAAAATATCATGCAATGCAATTGTGTTTATTGTTAATTATTAGCTTATTATTAATCAAACGTTCTTTCGATATTATTTT